TTAACACATTTCTCTTTATTTGGCCTGTTTGGTTCAATCAATTCCACTCTTTTAAAAAAAATCCATTTATCACAGAAATTATTCAGAGATGAACCCAATGTTCTAGCCCTTGGATGCTGGCCTTGTTAAGAATCCAATGAATGAATTTCTGATAGGCAACAGTGCCACCTAATGCTAGTGTTACTGTATTAACAATTTAAATTAGGGTCGAAACAGTTTTCTGTGAATTGATCAACTGGGGTATAAAGCTTTAAAATAAAGCTCAGTAGTTATTCATATTAGCATAATGTATGTTTGCTTATCCAATGTGTTACAGTTGCTAACACATAATTTGATCTATCCTAGTTTAAAAAAAACACAATTATGCAGACTTAACTAGATAGGATAAAACTTGATTAAATTTCATCAAAGGACTTTATTTAGAGAACAGAAAAGTAAAGATCACTTTTACAGCCATCTTTATAAGTCAAATGCATAACAATTGTCTCGAGTATAAGCCTAGTTTTTCAGCACATTTTTTATGCTGAAAAAGGCCCTCTCGGCTTATACTTGAGTGAGGGTCCTGGCGGGAAGGCGTGGGGCTGAAAGTAGTCCTTTGCCAGGGCTTCTACCAGCAGTGGGACTCCTCCCCTATCGGCATGGCAACCCAGTTGGATCTCTGTGCCAAGTGAGGAGGAGAGGAAGGCGTGCGGCCTCTCCTCTCAGCATAGCAACCCAGCTGGGTTGCTGTGCTGAGAGGAGAGGGGAAGCTGTATGCCTCAATTAATGTAATTTTATTGGTATCTGTTTTTTATTTTGAAATTTACCAGTAGCTGCTGCATTTCCCATCCTAGGCTTATACTTGAGTCAATAAGTTTTCCCATTTTTTTTGTGGTAAAATTAGGTGCCTCAGCTTATACTTGGGCCAACTTATTATTGAGTATACACAGTAATACTTTTCATCTACTTACAATCAACCCTCCGATTTATCAGGGGCTAGAGGTGCAGGATATATACAAAACTGGTAATCCCATCAATTAAAAAGCACTATTTTTGTATGAAAGAGAGCACCTTTCTAGGAATCTCTTAAACCTCTAGCACATCTCAATAGACCATAGAGTTGTACTGGAGGACGTAAGAGATTTTTTAGACTAATTTAGAATTTAGAGTAATTTAGAATAATTAAATCTGCAAATTTGGAACCTACTATATTTGCTTACCAACTCATTGACTTTCAATTTCCAATCCCCATGTTGAGATTCTTAGCTATCTGTAAAGGAGTTGGTTAGCATTGATCTCATATCAGGTACAAGTTAAGATCAGCTGGTGACTTCAATGTGAGAAGCAGAGGGTCAATAAATATATGAAAACTAGAAAGCCGACAGGCAGGGCTTAAGGGAAGAGGAAGCCATACAGTGGTGGTAAAGCACTTCTGGGTATGTATGTTCACTCAGTTTCACGAGCAGCATACTTATTGATGCTCTTATTTTAAAACAGCACAGATTTTGCTCAGTGGTCTATTCTTGCCTTATTTTTACTCTGGTAATTGTTTCCATGATGACTTTGATCAGCTAAATAAATTATGAGTGATATTTTTTAAAATGTGTCATCGTAAATATAGAAGAAAACTGTTAGTGAGCCTGGGCTTTGGTGCAGCAAAAGTATTAATACTTTTTCCTGAAACACATTACTATGTGAGGATACATAAAGATCCCTTTCTATTGACCAGAACTATATCATCCCTTTAGTTTTCCAACTTAATGAATGGAGGGTAGTGACAACCAGGTGGAAAAACTCATGCTAAATCCTATCAAGCCTGTCTGGTGGCAACATGAAAGAAACCGTACTTTTCCAGTTAGTTAGTTAGTTAGTTAGCTAGCTAGCTAGCTATTGTTTAAAATACTTACTCATGTAGAAGTCAACTTTATGCATAACTCAAGAGCAGGTATTAGGGCCAGATTATTGATTTTGACATGACCTGTCGATAAGTCGAGGGTCAGTCTGGAGAGAGCAGAAAGCACCAATGCTGACTAAAATTTCTAGGCTTTTACATGAGTACATAGAGATTATCTGGGTGGTTCACAGAGATTCTCAGAGCAGCTTAAAGAATAATTTTAAAATACTCAGGTAATACTCAGATCTAGTATAAGATCAGACACCTTGCAAAGCAAATTTTAATCTGCTGTGACAGTACAGTAACCCCATTTCAGGGAAACTGACATTGCTTCAGTGCAGAAGGGAAACACTATACTTTATTGGGGTCAGAAAATAATCACGCTACAGGAAGTGGTGAGGTTTTTAAAAAGCTTTTTTCAGTTCATTTTCATTCTCCCTTATGTTTTCTGGAGCTGGGCATTTGAATGAAGTAGACTTTATTTTATACACACAAACATATTTTGGATATGGAGTATTTGCATTGTCCGCAGTAAATTGAGATTCACATTGAAATCATAAAACAGACTCACAAAAATATCCATTTTAAAAATCAAACTGCAGGAATGTAAAATACAGATTTTGATCATCCTTGAGTTAGAAGATGCCCTCTTTTCTCCCTTTAGTAAAGCTTCATTGTGTTGTATTAATGCTAGTATGTCCTGAGATAATTAATGTTGGAAGGGTACTGTATAGTGTTTTTTTTTAACAAAGTGAACAGGCAGCTGTTTATCTCTGCACTGCCAAGAAGACTTGAGAATGCTATTGAATGCAACGAGATAGCTGTTTTACTCTCTCATGCTAAACAATACCCTTTTTCTGTTGTTGTGGTTGTTAGGACAAACTGAGAAAATATTGCAGACAGGTCTTACTCTGCCAAGGTGGGAAATGAGCTTACTAGTTATAGATTTTTAGTCAAGTGAAAAGGAGATGCATAAGAGCATTAGGAGAGAAGCAACCCTATCTTTCTGTCTTAGACAAAACATGAGTCTCATGGAAAGGAGTAGACATGTGCCAGGGATAATCAGGCACATGGGATGGGAACATTTTTGTCTTTTAGAACTATAATTTTAGATTTCTGAAGGTATTCATCAGAGCTTATTCATATAAAGTATAGGAGCATATCATAGTTACTGATTTTCATGAAGAGCAGGGGGAGATATGGGTAATGAGTTCATACTGTCACAGTACTGATATGACACAATACTGGGAAACTTCGTTTAACTGCCAGTAAAATGGCATTTGTAGACTTCTTCAATTTTAGGTCTCTCTTTTTTATTGGCTTGACAGGTCATTATTATTTAAATCACCTGCCTCTCATAATTTTGTATGTCCTGGAGTGCTTTGGCTCATTTTTGCTTTAGATCTGGCACAATAGAGTACAGTGTTTAGAAATAGAGCATTGTTCCAGAAACCTCCTGGGAGCACAGGCTTTGCATATTGAATCAAGCAAGTGTGTTCGCATTCATAGGCAAGAGTCCCTGAATCCTTCTCTTTTCCTGCTCACTTCATGCTGCCAATTGCAGATAACCCCTCCCACTTTGTAGTATCCCGGACAATTGCTGCTAGTTATGTGATCCACAGTGTTTGATGGTTTGATATACATTCAGTCTGAAAGGATGCAGGAACAATTTCTACCCTGGTTGATTGTTGTTGGTCATTAATCAGAATAGCTTATATGTAAAGAATCTGGTATAGAAAATGATAAAAGGATATCTGGCATTTCCACTTGTAGGTTCTTTGCTTATATTCATTCCAAAGAGATGAGAAATGATCTGAGAATATATTGTTAAGTTAATTTACTAAAGAGAAGCAGGACAGAATGTATTTGCTATTTGGATAAGAGATATTCTGTAAAAATATTCATACAATTCTCCTTCAATTTAGATTATTTTTAATTGCTTGGATTGTTGTTTTTATTTTATTTCTTATTCATCTCTCCCCAGGGTAAATATAGATGATGATTATATTTATTTATTTATTTATTTATTTACTGTCAGCCTCTCCTTGTGGCTTGAGGCAGGGTACAACATAGTTAAAACAGTGAAGTAAAACAAAGTACTATTTAAATACATACAGTATAACAAATACACACAGGTATTATGCAGCTTAAAATTTACTGATAAAAATTCTGGTTAAATTTTGCAATTTTGGAATTGAATGGCTAAGACCTGACAGAAGAAATAGGGCTTCATTTGTGTCTTAAATTTTGGAGCTCTTGCAGCAGGTCATTTCAGACTTGGGGCAGCCGATGAAAAGGTCCTCTAGGTGACCGTCACCAGTCAGGTTGTGGCTGGTTGGATTAACCGACCCCCAGACGACCAAAGTGTCTGTGGCGGGTATAACTAAAAATCCATAAAACAATTTAAAACATATAGATTAAAAACACATAAACATAAAACAAACACACAGTTTTTCATTTTGATGTCATGCCAAGGGGAGAACTGGATATATACAAGATTCTTTGGGTGAGGAAGAATACAATAAAAAATATTACTTTGGGGGAAATAGAAGCTTTTCCCCACAGAGGTAGGAAAGGTGCATTGCAGTGATGATTTATTACTCCAGGAGCAACTGGCTCAGTACCTTTATACGGGTAATTCCAGAAAGGTTTTCCAGTTCTGACAATAGAGTTATGAATGTCTGTTGACAGTGAACTGAAAGACCAAGTGAACTATTAGTAACATTCAGTCTATCAAAATCCCAACACCATTAAGCATTATAGACTTTAAAATATCAATTTAAAACTCATGGTTCAAAATCAACTGAGTAGACCAGGACAGATAAGTCTTTGATGCTTTTTAAAATTCAGACAGCATATTTAGCTGTTGAATCTTTTCTGACAACACATTCCACAGTCTAAAGGAAGTTTATGAAGATTTTATTGATTGTACTCCACCCTGAGCAGTGGCTGATAACAGAGCAGGTTACAAGTATTTTATCAAACAAATCAAACTAGGATGGCAGGAATGAATGGGAATATGTGTGTACAGAAAAAGGTACTAATATTAATGGGTCATCTTCGTAGTTAATGTTGCTTGCCTTTGAAGATGTAGCTAACATGTAACTTCTCATGTTTTCCTTTGCAGCTGAAACTTGAGGACCGGTCAGTGGTGCCGCGTGATGTTGTCAGGCACATGGGCTCACGAGTAAGTGTTCCTTTCATATGTATGTGTAAAGGAAAGAAATCAATGTATTTGCTTCACAAATAGTTAATTTTACTTCGTTTGAATTTTCAAAAAAAGGAATTTCATTCTGGAAGTGATCACATTGTATAGTAAAATATATTGTGAAATATAAATGTTACAAAATATATGTTTTACACAGTAATTTACAGCACAAAACTAATACTGTGTCTTAATACAGCTCATGCAAAAATGGCAGTTGAAGCCAGCCACATTAAAATTCGACTTGTGTGTTGAGCATGTTGGCCAGAAAAGCAGTGTCAGCATTGGAGATGCATTGCTCTTTAAAAATGACCCTCTGGCTCAAATGTTGATTTATGTATAGTTTGCAGTATTTTTCAGTTCTGGAAAGGAAATTCAGCTTTAAAACAAAAAGGTAGATTTCATTACAGTTTCTGTTTGTGCCTGGCTGGTAGACTTGTTTGAATTCATTGAATGCCCTTCCCATGGCAATTTGAAAGCATGAAATATTGAGTCTGTAGAGGCAAGAGTCGATCAACCTAAATCAAAATCTGAAACAATTCAGTATTGGACTGGAGAGATGAACAGTTAGAAATTATACAAAAGACAACCATAGTTCAGTTACACGTTTAGTTGTCTTGCATGAACAGTACCAAACACTAGCCAGTGTTAATGGCTGGTTTAATATTATATTAACAGTACAGTATGCCTCTGATGGAGATGCTGTGCCTATAAGGTTCTTACTATATTATTGAAGGGTGTTAATTTATACTTTTATCACTTTTCAGATCCACCAAATTCAATATCCTACTCTCCCTCCACAACAATAATTCGATTTTTTAAAAAAAATCTAATTAAGCAAGTGGGAAATAAATATGCTGAACTAATCTGCACTTCCTTTTCTAAAAATGACTTCTAACAGTGGGCCTAGAAGGCACTATATATGAATCCCTTGTGTTTGCACCTGATTTCTGGGGTGCTGGGGCTTTTATAATAATTCATTGTTATGCTGTAGGTTATACAATTGGCTGTATACTTTCATTCATGTTTTTAGTGGCCAGAAAATATTCCATATTGGGAATAAGTAGGAGAGTACCTTTTTGTGTGTATCTGTTAGTCTCTATTCTTAAAAAAAAAAAAAACCATAATTGGTAGCGAGGAGGGAGAAAGACTGCTATAATTCCCAAGCTGGAAATTATTACATGAAACAGATTTGTCAGGAGATTATTATGTGGATAATGCTTTCTCCCTCAAAGAGCATGATTGACTTTAATACAATTTTAAAGGAAAAAGAGACCTTTTGAATAGTGAAAAAAGAAAGGGAAAGATTTATATTTCCAGGCAGCTTGAGCTCTCCTAAATTGCTATTGTCTTATGCATAACCATTTTACAACATGCTGTCATGGTCTGACCTCTGGAGATCAGTATTTGAACCCCATTCAGCCATGGAGAACCACTGGATGACCTTAAGCAAGTCACACACTCTCAACTGCAGAGGAAGGCAATGGCAATTCAACATGAACAAGTCTTACCAAGAAAACTCCATGACAGGTTTGCTGTAGGCCAAGACAACTTTAAGGCACACAATAACACCAGCATAGATTGGGAACTTACCCATTCCCAGGAAACTCAAGGCATTTTGTTTCCCAGCCCAGATTAATATCAAGTCCAACATTATACTAATCCACGTTAAACAATGAAGGTTCTTACCTCCAAGTTGGTCCGAAACTTCTGTGTAGTCTGAAGAATTCATATCTATTTAACAGTGATTAATCTGTTTGATGAAAACGACCCCATAATGTGGAGAAGTCAATGTAAGAAGAGCCTGCTGGATCAAAGTAACAGACTGTCAATTCCAGGATTCTTGCCCCACAATGGTTGGCCAGGTGACTACGGGATGCCTGTAAACAAGATATAAAAGTGACGGCATCCTCCCACTCATATTCCCTAACCGATAGTCAAATCATAAAATTATAGAGTAGAAAGAGAACACATAGGCCATTTAGTCCAACCTTCTGCCACGCAGGAAAAGCACAATCAAAAGTACCCCTGACATATAGCCATCCAGCCTCTGTTTAAAAGCTTCCAAGGAAGGAGCTTCCACCACACTCCCAAGGATTCAGAGTCAAGACTGCCTTTGGTATTATAATAAATGTATAGTTAGAAACCCCTGGTGGCCTTGGCCTTTTTGAAAGGATACATTTATCACATGGTGCCAGTACGTAGTCCCAGTACATCTGTGTCCATTTATAGATCTTGATATATGGGAATAGCTATGGACTATGGTCATTAATAAATAAAAGTGTTATTGGAGCAGCTGCCAGCTTAGAGTTAATGATGCATCTGGATTCACGTCCCCTTCCTCATTGAACCAATCAGCATAAAGACACAAGAAGCATTGCTAATATATCAGTGAATGCAAAGTGACTTATACTAATTAAGATCCAAGATCTTATTTTTCATAATTGTTTTGCTACTTGTTCTACTGACTGACTATTGGTATTTTCCAAAGCATATTTTCAATTGTTCAGAGAACAAGTTCTCAATAATCCACTACACGCATATTCCCAACATTCAGACACATGTGATGTTGTTGTCATAGGCCCTTCAATTTGGAAAATGGAAAAGCCACACATGCAATTTTTAACATGGGAGAGGACCTCAAGAGCGGTTTTTGCTGGAAGTTGACTATAGAGTCTCACTAAGGAACTTAGAGGTCCCTAGAGAAGTGCTCTCTCTAGAAATCTCTAGGTCCTCCAAGGTAACACTCTGGTTTGTTTACAAATCAATGTTACATTGTCATGTTTATTACCTCCAAATTGTTTACTTTGATTCTTTGATTATTGTGTAAATAAACAAAGGATATTTTTTTTTGAATTGTCAGGTTTTATTTCTGCACAGCCTGGGAATATGCTACAGTTTCAAAAAGCATTTTGTTTTTCTTTGCAGGACAGTCAATGTGGTACCGTTATCGATGTAAACATAGAGTGTGCAGTAAAACTGGTGGGAACCAACTGTATTCTTTATCCTGTTAACAGCAAAGATCTTCAGAATATCTGGGTGAGAATTGTTTAAACTACTTACCTTCATGCAGCAGAAATACTAACAATAGCTTGAATCATAAATTTAAAAGATCAATTAAAAAATCAATGTGCCACATACCTACTAATTATTTAATTTAGCAGACTATAGCTCTGTTCTGGGAAGACGATTTGAGCTCTGAATCTTGTGAGATGCTCAGGGGTAGTCCTTTAGCCATGTGAACCTGCCAGTTAAAAGTAATCTTTGAATTCTTCTCCAAGTTTCCCGCTTTGCATTTAGGTGAACGATGACCAGAAGGGCCTAATTTATTGTGGCACCCTATTTGTGCAGTACTTTCCTTGAGGCAAAGCAAATCTAAAGTAAAAGAGAGTGCCTTATAACATAGAGATTGAGGGGGAGAGAGTGGGTTTTAACTGACTCACTTCTCTACTCTAATATTAAAGGTAAAGGTAAAGGTAGTCCCCTGACATTAAGTCCAGTCATGTCTGACTCTGGGGTGTGGTGCTCATCTCCATTTCTAAGCCGAAGAGCCAGCGTTGTCCGTAGACACCTCCAAGGTCATGTGGCTGGCATGACTGCATGGAGCGCCGTTATTATATTAGTCTCTGGTAAAATATTTGCTTTTATTTTTCTTGGATCATTTTGAATTGTTGTTAGTATCTTTTCTAGTCAATAATGAAATAAAAAAAATGAAAGAAGTGTTATTGAAATGAATATTGCAATACTTATATTTCCATCAAACGACTTTTTTGAATAGACGGCTATCTTTATCCTGAGTGAGATGGTTTTGGCTTTAACAAGTGGAGCAAGTCTCTTCTGCACAGAGATTAGCTAGAATAATCATTTGCTCGAGATGGACCCATGACAACCATATGCAGCGAAACTGACATACTAAAATTATAAAGTGTGTTATGTGGGTTTTGAAACCCCTCTTTTTAAACTGTATTTATTGAACTGGACAGGATAGAGATAATCTACTTAAATAGGTCTCATGTGTTCTGAAATTTTATTTAAAATCATTAATGAATCTCTACCTTCCTGTTCTCTTATAATTCTAAAAATACAAGTCTGAAATTTACTGTGTTACTGTTTCATGAGCTTTGAAAAAAATGTGTGTTGATAGCTATGATGAAATGAACTAAGCAAGCACCTTAACTTTTTTCTTCCCTCTCAGCCATTCATGTATGGTGACTGCATAGCCTATGACTGGTGGCTAGGAAAAGTATACGATCTGAAGAATCAAATTATTCTGAAGCTCTCCAATGGTGCCAGGTATTTATATTGCTTAAGTTACAGAATATTACTTTTGGGTTTTGCTTAAGTCTGCATAGATTCTCAGTATTCTCTGTACATTCTCAGTATTTGAAGACATCAGCCTGCTTGTCAATTCTAAGAACCTTAATTTCATGGTGTGGAATAGGAATAGTTATTGTACAAATTGGTAGAATTTAGTCCCTGAAGCATTTTTTTTTTTTGGATTTTCATTCTAAAGTAGAAAGATACTGGTAAAGCATATTCTTTGTGCATGGAAAGTGTCATGACTTCCATTGGAAAACCTAAAGAATAGTTGCCAGTTAGTATAAACGGTTCTAATCTTAATAGATGATTAGTAAAGCAGTTCTTAATGCTGCTGAGCCCATCTTGACTATCTAGATAATTGCCTAGTTCAGTATATAATATAGCTGCCCATAAGACCTATCACTTGGAGTAGCCTGCTGACTTGAAGATGATAAAAGTTGAATGTCTCTTTAAATAGGCTAATAATGACCTGATGCACTGGCTACAGTTTTATGCTTATTCCCATTATCTTTCCACAACATGGGTCAATGCTATTAAACCCTAATATTAAGAGTGTGGCCACATATGTAGCATTAGGAAAACTGTTCTGTGTCTGGTTTCTGATTTATAATAATAATTATTATTGATTTTAGGTGTTCCATGAGCACAGAAGATGCTGCAAAACTCTATGATGTCTGCCCACATGTCAGTGACTCAGTAAGTTTTCTTTCTCCCTTGAAAGAGTTCTGTTTGTTTTATATGTTTTATGGATCCAATTTGTGGGGTTCCTGCATAACTGAAATATTAACCAGTGTTGGGGATTCATTCTGCAGGGAGCAAGATTTGCTATTACCAAATCTAGATTGGTTCAGTGAAGCACTTTCCCCATGAAGTTAATGGCATTCTTTCATTTATATGGAAGAGAGAAGAGTACTTTGCTATGCTTACTCTCATTATTAGGCATCCAAAAAATGACTCTTTTTGGATTCTGTTAAAATATTAATCAAATCTGTGTCCTTCTTGCCTTGTTTATCATTAGAGATTTCACCTGTGACTATTTTTCTACAAATTTTCCTTAATGCTGGAAGCAGGAGAGAAATGCAGAAATACCTTTCAAGAGGATGAAATAAATGAGCAGTAACTGAGTGTTGTGCACTTCCTATATCCCTTTATTCTTTTAGGGCCTCTTCTTTGATGATTCATATGGATTTTATCCTGGGCAAGTTCTCATTGGGCCTTCAAAAGTCTTCTCAAATGTGCAGTGGCTTTCAGGAGTGAAGCCTGTTCTCAGTACAAAGAGCAAGTTCAGAGTGGTGGTAGAAGAGGTATGGTTCAATATGTTGTGGCAGTACTCTAAGAACGCTGGTCTCATCTGAGGTCTTCCACAAAACTAGATGTGTTAGATTCTTTGACCCAAATGTGTTGCTGAAATAGAAGCACTAATTTTGTGGAGCTTTGGGTAAGGACGTGACCTGTTGCTTGGGATTCGGTTTTTGCTTGAAACAGTATTATTTCAGTGCCTTCTTCCTGCCTAGTGCTTAATTGAGCTCTGTGTCAAATCCTACATTGACAGGAAAAAATAGGAATGTCACCTCTCACGATGGCAAAATACTGTAATTAGAATCATAGAGTTGGAAAGACCTCGTGGGCCATCCAGTCCAATCCCCTGCCAAGAAACAGGACAATCACGTTCAAATCACCCCCAACAGATGGCCATCCAGCCTCTGTTTAAAAGCCTCCATAGAAGGCTTTTATATTACACAAAAAGTTACAAACAGTTTAATGAGTTAACAAGTCATCAAGTTTTCGTAACCATTTTGAGACAAAAACAAATCTTTAACATAACTCTGTGAATAGAGAATATCTCATTAGGCCTTATATTGCAGGGCTGCCATCTTGTGAATGTAAGAGTCTAGGGGCTGGGAGAGGCATCTAGCAGGAATCATTTGAAACTCTATACCCCACCCTTTCAAGTGGTAAGAGTTTATTCATGGGTGGTTCATGGTTGCAGAGATACAGTGATTTCCATCCAGGTTCATCATTTTGAAAAGCAGACCTCAGTAAATCATACTTCTTGCCTTCTCAGTGCAAAGTGTTTTTTTTTTTAACCTAAATTATTTTTGTAAAGATTTGATTACACTTAGCTGTGGTGTGTTGGGTTCTGTTTAAAGCTGCAACATGAACAAGAATTAAATTTCCTGGGAAAGATCAGGATCCAGGGAGTATTCCATGTCTGGACAGCACAAAAGATACAAGCAAGATTGTGTTTCACCATATGATTTCAATTTTGAGTCACCCATTAAACAGAGTTCTCCACCTTCAGATTACACTATCTTGCCCAGTGGGGGAAAAAAACAGAACCAGAATATGTCTGGATGTCTGAGAATGATGACATTCTCTAACAACCCCATGGTGACGCTGGCAGATCCTGTATGTTGAGCTTCCCAGAACTATTACCTTATGGGTCCTGAACGTGAAATCTGATACCTTGTCAGATGGTTAGACTCACAGCCTACACAGCAGGTGGTACATGACCAATATTTCTTGTTTCATTTAAGCACAGAACACAAGATCCAAATACTTGCACTGGATTAAGACTGAGACATGAGATTGGAAAGAAAGTTAGAATCACTGTGGACTTCAATAATGCTCCCTGTTCAGATTCTCGGTGCTGAATGTTGCATAGCATACCTAGAGGGCACAATGAGCATAATCCCTCCCTATTTCCCCATCCAAGTGAGATGTTTCCATTTAAAATGATGTTTTAATTTAGCAAAATATTTGAGTTTACAAATTACTAAAGTGAAACGTTGTAAAGATGCCACATTGCCTTCCTTAATCTCTTTTTTGTTTTCCTAGGTGCAAGTGGTAGAACTGAAAGTTACTTGGATCACTAAAAGCTTCTGTCCTGGAGGAACAGATAGCATAAGTCCACCACCATCCTTAATAACCCAAGATAATTTATCTCGGTACGTTTTAATTCATATTCAGCATCCTGATTTGATACTGTTGTGCATGTAGGTGGCTACCAGAACAACAGCAGTTTGCTTTCTGAAATAGAGAAATGTTACTACATCATTAACTGTAATCAATGCAATTTTTTTGATGAGGGATGGTAGATGAACCAGTGAGAATGAGAAAAATGCATAATATGGCCAATTGGCAGACAGCAAATCTCTTTTAAGGCAGAAGTTTAGAGTTGCAAGAGCAGAGAAAATTAGTTGTGTGTGTGTTTTAGATACATTATTTCCCCTTTTTCCTGTTTCTCACTCCTCCTCCTTTCTATATTATCTATTAGTTTATCTAAAATATCTGCATTCAATTCACCCTTGTTTCTTCCTCCCCCCCCCCCCCCCCCCCCCCCCCCCCCCGTAACCACCGCTCCCCACCCCATACCCATATCACAATTTCCATTATAACTTTAACTTTATCCATGAGGATGGTACACTCACATGTGGTGGAAATGTCCAGTAACAAAGAAAATGGAGACATTATTTAAAATACCACTTCAAGTAAATAGGAATTTAATGTTAATGGGAATATTAGGGAACAATAAAATTAATTTATGAAATTTATTGAAAGCAATGGTTTCAATAAATCTTGATTACCCCGCCCATACCGCCTTTGGACTGATATGGGCAGGGTAGAAATAGTGTAAATAAATAAATAATAAATACATTTTAGCAGGAAAGGCAGTGATTGCTTGGGTTGTAAAGAAGAAAAAAATGGAATATGGTAAATTAGAACAATTACTTGTTTGCTCAGGTCCAATCAGATATCATAGCAAGTTTAATTTGAGAAGATAAGCAGGAAGATAAAAGGGGGAAAAATAAAGAGGAATGGTTGATATATATGGAATGGATAAAAGCCAATGCAAATATTGTGCAGAGATTGTAAAAATTGAGCAGAGAAAATTAGTGTATTTAACTCATTACAGAGTAGTAAGCACTTTTTGGCCTAACAAAATGGTAGAAAAGACATCTATGCAGAGTGTATAACTTCAATCAGCCTTGTATCTCTCATTGTCTCTGCATCTCTCCAAAAGCAAACATGGCAATGTGGATAGTATTTGAGCTGGGGATAATAAATCAGAATGCATTATTAATAAATCAGCAGAGGGAATTGTGAAAATACCAAGTTGGCTACCAAAAAAGCTTTAAAAGGGAAGTACAGGCAGTCCCCAAGTTATGAACAAGATAGGTTCCATACATTTGTTCTTTAGTTGATTTTGTTTGTAAGTCAGGGCAGATACATTTTAGTGTAACACCACACGGGTGTTAACTCTTCCCTATACTTGCCAAAGCTTGTGATGCATGTCTGTCTGTCTGTCTGTCTGTCTCTCTCTCTCCCCTTTTTTTTCTTCTGAAATCTTCTGAACAGCATAACAAACACCACAGGGGTGTTAACCCTTCCCTATACTATACACAAAGTTTTGGATAGCATAGGGGAGGGTTAACACCCCTGTGATGTTTGTTTTGCTCTCTGGGATACTCTGGGGTATAGGGCTGTGTGGAAGGGCCCTGAGCCCTTGTTCAGAAGATTTCATCTCACTTTCTGTCCCTGTGATGATTGGATTTTGAAAGGTTGGCTTTTTGTAGAAACAAGGACTGATGAGAAAGCTTCAGTGGAGAACCTTTACCCCACAACTCTTTCAGGAGTGAATAGCCCTTCATAAAGGGTAGATTTCTCTCACTTCCTGTTGTCTCACCCCTTTTCTTAACTATGAGTCATTTGTAAGTCAAATGTTTGTAACTCTGGGACTTCATGTACTGTATTTCTTCCATTCTAAGATACACTTTTTCCCTATATAAACATCTCTAAAAATGGGATGCCTCTTAGAATCACAGGTGTATCATGTGTCTTTTAGTTATGGTACTGAAGTTAGTGTGCATTGTACAATCCATGGTGTCTTACAATGGAAGAAATACGTTATATGCAGTCTATCTGAATCAATATGATGGGATTGCTGGGTCTAGCATATTCAGAACTTAGTGCATATTCAAACGTTGACTACATCTCAAAATTACAAAATCTGCTTTGTGTTTTTTAAAATAAATCTCCAAAATTTCAATTGGAGCTAGGTCCCAAAATAATATACTTTTGAGTGAAAAAATCCTGAGTCCAGGAACTTGTTTTGAGAGAGAATTGTGAGCAAAGCACAAGTATTTCCACATAGAAATCCAATTCTGATTAACTAAGCTTTTCTTCTTTTTAGCAGTAGTGGAATCATGTTTCTGCTATAAAACAGTTAGAAATCCTTATCAATCTACTGCAAATTATTCATGGATCCATCAGTAGACCCCAGATTACCTTCTCTCTAACCTTTTGCTATTTTACAATGATGAACTTGTGAATAAATGACATGAAAATTCTTCTATATCGTTCTCTACATCCAATTTGGGAATGTGCTTTCCCTTTGCACTGCAGCATCAAAGTTTTATGTTATTGAATTAAATCTAAAACTTCATAAAATGGGAAGGTCTTATTTTCATTTAAATCCAGTGATTTCCCAAACAGAGGCAAGTGACATTTACACAAAAGGCCAACTAAAGCTACTAACACAAAGGATTCAAGAAAATTGTCTCAGATAGCATTAAAATAGTATCTCTTCTGCCTTACTATTCACAGTGTAAAGCGTCTGGGATGCTTTGATCATGCTGAGCGACAACTTGGAGAAAGGTGTCTTTATGTGTTTCCTGAGAAAGTGGAGCCTGCAAAAATCACTTGCGAATGCCCAGAAAGAAACTGTGTTCTGGGAGAAGGAACTGTTGCCAAGAAGGTACATGGATTGACTATGGCAGGAAATGTCAATTTATTGTTTCTGTGAAACTTATTTTGATCAGAATTTCTGTAGAGGTTTCTAGGTAACTCTTCGTCATTCTTATTTGGCCCTACATCTGTACCCAGTCTTGATGTATCCCACTGATTCTGTATACTGCCTTCAGACTAAACTTAATTATTTCAGAAATATATGGCTGGCCCTCCGTATCTACAGACTCTGCTTCCACAGATTCACCCTACACATGTTGAAAATACTTTTAAAATCCAAAAAGCAAACCCTGCTTTTGCCGTTTTATTGAAGAGATGTCAATTTACCACACCATTGTGTGTAATGGGATGTGGGCATCCAAGGGCTTTAGTCTCCATGGGATACCCTGGAATCAAACTCCAGGGCATAACAAGGACCTGCTGTATGTGCACACATATATGCATGCTAGGAATATGTTGCATTGCTGAGGCTGCCTCATTCCACTGTAAATATTTCTCCAGCTTTTTAGGGCTGCTTTCTACGTTGCTTATTACCAATATGATGATTTTCATCAGATTTGTGTGTGTGTGTGGAAACACAAAAAAGGGAGGCGGTTTTGCTTAGAAAAATGTGGATATTTCTGATTATTTTTGATGGATCAGTCTTGCATCAGGTACATTTGTGAGTGTGTGTTCTTTTTTGTCTTTGTCTGTTACATAGTAGTAATAAAGTCCAGTAGGAAAGTGGCAGGGATAAAACTATATTTGAAATAAGAAGCACATTATCCCTAATTTCTTGCTGTATCCTCCTTCTACTGTGTTATAGAACTTTGTGTGCTTTGAGTCCCAATTGGGAAGATAATTTGGGTATAAATAAATATAATGACAATAGTTTTTGAATTACAGTAAATTTCATTTTTAAGCAGAAAGGTTTGTGCCTTACATACAGACACAGCCTGTTAATTTATTTATAGTTATTAAATACCAGAATTCCAATTTTGGTGTAATTAAGAATATACTTTCTTGGCAATTTGTGTAATTCTTTTTCTGTTAATATATTCAGCAATACTGCACAAATTAGGGAATTCTTTCTGTATATTTCTGGTTTGTGTGACAGATTATTGGTGTCTAACAAACATTTACTATCATTTATGGACATTTTTATTACATCTTAGGCCCCTTCCACACAACCGTATAATCCAAAATATCTACTTTCAACTGGATTATCTGAGTCCACACTGCCATACAATCCAGTTCAGTGTGGACTTTTTCAGCTGTGTGGAAGGAGCCTTAGTGAAGCACTCCTGTTCTATGAAGTATTCCTAGTCCTGCTACTGATTGGCAGATGCATGTCTTCAGATGGAATATCCATTTCATAATACAAACTTGTAAAATCTGGGGATTTGAATCAAATACCAATGGCAACCTTCTACTGTGAGATAATCCCCTGCTTCCTGCAACCTGTTTGAGATTGTCATTCAGTTTGGGCAGCTTCAGAGCTTCAGAAGTTTTTGACCTGCAGGTTCTGTCATCTATAACCATAGCAACTGACAATGAATTATGTCAGTTACAGTCCAAAAACCTCTGGAAAACATAGTTGCCCAAATTTTCCATAAAAAGAAGAAGGTTCTTAAGCACCAGGAAAACTTTAACAAATGGTTTATCATTTGTGCACAGCAAACTGGATTATAGGTTTTTCACCCATCCATATTTTCCCCTACAAACCCATCATTGAATATGCTGCCTGGGAGTCAGAAGCTGCATGGCCACCTGTCAGGGGTGCTTTGATTGTGTATTCCTTTATGGCAGGGGCTGGGCAGGATGGCCCTTGGGGTCTCTTCCAACTCTGTTATTCTATGATCAACTATTTCTGAGAAAATACATTTGAGGTAAACGTTTAGGTTAAAATACTGTTAAAACTGGGGATCATTCCTTTAAATCTGTTTTATTTCTGTAATTATCCCAAGCTTTTACCAATAATATCAAAATTATGGTGTTTAATATTGCAGGTGGCCTGTCCCTGTTTTGTATCCAACGTAAAGCCTGAGAAGGTACTGTACTAAACACTTTTTCTCTATCTGAAAACGTCTTGCATTTCATTATATGTCCTCCTAAAAATCAAGGAAAAATAAAGTCGTTAAGTGTGCCCCCTGTCAGCTTGCAAAGATGACCCTCTTCTAAAAATATTAGCATGCTTTATTTTCCTGTCTAAAATTCATTTCTGATGTTTGCTGTATGTTATCTTTCTATGTAGATAGTCAGTAAAACAGTACATTCAGTATAACAGTCTGCTTTTAGGTAGCTTTCATTTTAACATTCATTACACTGTTTAAAAGATTAGCTTGACCTTATAAAACCAATTGATTTGGGCGTCATTAATTTGAGCAGATTTTGATATTTTTTCTGTATTATTATAATGCCAGTTGGCATGATGGGAAAGAAATATTGAAAGTTGTAACCACAAATGGAGAATTTTATTTACACGCAGAGATGATATTCTTGAGTTGTGAAAATAACAACAAAAAAATCAAAATGCTAGAGGGGCTGAAGCAATTCTTCAAGGAAATGTTACAAAATCTGGGACTCCTTGATTTAGAACAAACGGGTAAAGAGGAACTTCATGCAGATTAACATGATGTGGCACAGGGGTGGGTATTGCACTTAGCAATGCTTATCTCTTTCCACATTTCTTTTTGCTTTTCCTTGCTCCCTCCTCCTTTTCCTTTAACCCATTCTGACTTTTCCCTCCTGTGAAATTGACTTTACATTTCCTAGTAATGTAAGGGATCTGTGTGGATTAGTGCATCTAATTAGCCACTAGGGAAATAGAGTGCTGGGCTGAATATGTCTTTGGAGTGATCCACCAAGGCACTTCTTAATGTTTGTCATTATGTTTTAAATCTGAATATAACTGCATGAAGATAAATTTCTGTCCCTCTGAACCCCAGAGTAATGATACTGTTTGTGAAGATAAAGTCACTGAGCATCGTAGGTACTGATGGTTTTGGTCCTTTCACAGTGTTTGCTTCAACTGTAATGTTCTGTTTTGAAATGGGTGATAACTGCTAGGTGTCAAGCCTCTCCTATATGCAGTTTATTTCCATTGTTATATATTTCAGTGAAAGTGATAGTATTGAACCCATTTTCATGTTTGATAAATGTGTATCAGTGTAAACAGATTACTAAGCCCTCCTTTGTTGTCTTTTGAGCTTTTGGCAGGGAAAGACCTGCAGAGAAAGTAGATGGGAAGAGTACATAGTGCATAGTGCCGTTTACATTTTGGTATCTTTACCCACCACCACCCCATCAGCCCTCACTCTTTCTTTCACCAGGAATTGCTTTTGATCAGTGACTAGGTTTCAGATAGCCAAGGTGTGCATTTTTATAGGATAATTGGCAATGTATTTACGAGGGGGTAGGAGTTTAAATGAATTTGCATCAGATCATTTGGCAAGTGTTTGAATTTAAGTGTTCAGTTTGGGCATTTCTTCTCCAAAGCGGACTAAACCTTGATACTTCTGAAGATTTGGTAGCAGATTGATTTGTAGGAATATAAATAGTGTCTCTCCCAAAAAATTTCCCCCCATTCTCAGGTCTCCACATATCAGAGATGTACACCATGTAACTCTCAATGTGGATGGATTGCAGATCACAGAATTCCTCATTGTTGTATCTGGTGGCTAGGGCTTCAGGACTTGTAACCTAACAACATTTGAACAGCCACCCTGTCATATTAAAAAACAAAATACTAGGATTTATCAGGTGCCTTCCTCATGTTTGGAGAAGGACTGTTGGAGTAATATATCCCGGGGCGATTTAATGTTCAGAGCTTTGGTCATTCACTCCCAAGAGTAATTTTGAAACTATACAGGGAAAACTTCACTTGGGGGGGGGGGGGGGAATTGACATTTTTTAAAAATGGAATGTAATAATAGCAATATTTATACATTAAAAGACATTGTATTCCTTTAGGAACATAACATTTGTTATGTATAACATGGTTTGTTACCAGATTATGTTGTTTGCTAAATTAAAATTACAATTCAGAAAATAATTAAAAATTGAATTTCGTTCTCCCGCCCCGCCCCAAAATGGATCTGTAAGCTTCTAAACTGCAAGGAAAATTTATCTGAATTATGAAAATCATTTAATTTTAACACTTTATCAATGATAGTTTCTTCTCTTGTTTTAATTACAACTTATAACAAGAGAAGAAATGATCATTGATTGTTAAAAAGCAAAGAAAATAATTTCGTCTCCTCTGGTTCCCTGTAGTGCCAAGTGAATACAAATCACTTGATCAGTGACCCATTAAAAAAAAACGGGAACAGAAAACCAAGAATGAGATTACATGATGTGATACTATAGTCTTATCTAAAAGTCTAGCTACTGCATTCTTTATAGAAACAAAACCGCAAAAAGTGTAGATGTAAATACTATTTTTTCTTAAAATATATATATTTTAAAGAAAATATCCCAAAATCAGTTTGTTTCCTAAAAACAAGATCACTCTGGAAAAAAATGGGGGATTTGATTCTGGAACCCCCCCCCCCCCCCCCCCCCCCCCCCCCCCCCCGGTGTTTACATCTCAAAGCCCCAGTCTCTAGCATTTACAGCTGTCTGTTTGGAAAGTTTTGGATTTTTAAAGTAAGACTACCTCTGTATTCTGTGTAATTTTCATCAAGATTGTTCACAAAAGCATGGGTAGACAAGTGTATCCTTTCTTGTATTTTTTTTAAATCTTCAAACTGAAAACAGTTTTTGCATAAATAAAATCTGTGCTTATTCTTAAACATGGCAGGCTTCATCCCTCTCAGAAGTGTTTGCTAGGCTTGCAAATTTCATTCGGCCCTGACAAACTGAAAGTAGCTTGTTGATTTTCAGTGATTGTCAGTGGCATCATGTTTGCCATGTATAATTGTTTGGGAAGCATTGAGAAAGTAAACAGTCTCTGAATATTTATGCGACTTTTCCTAGTTGAACACTACAGTAATAAAACTGGTGGAAAATACATTGACTGGTAACATTTCTCTTATGGTAACTGAGACATGTAGAGGCAGAGCACTTTATGGTTCTGAGCATTGGGAAAGATATTTTTATCTGTTGGTTCATCTAGTTTTCAGGATATTATTATTATTATTATTATTTATTTATTATTATTATTATTATTGAAATTTGCCTGGCATTGCCTAGGTTAACAATTATTTCACTTACGAATTTTATGATGTTAACTGAAGTGCAAATCTTAAGTAAATTGAAGTTTGGCCAGAATAAGTGTATAAATGTGCACTCAACAGACATCAAAAGTGTGTGTACAGGAGGGGCCTAAAATGGTTTTAAAAGTGGGTTAAAAACAACTATGGTTTCCATTTTATTCCTCTTAGGTGATACATCAGGTTTCATGATTCTGTGGTCAAGTAAATGGATTTGTACTACATATCAAATAAGCAAACTCTTTATAATATACAGCGGTAGTCCAGATTTTTTAAAGAAATGTGATTGTTGGCTGCATTTCTTTCCAGTTTTTGTTTGAGTGGGTCTGTTTGACCACATCAAGGGACAGAAGGACAGACTTAGACATCACTTGATAGGAGTCCTTTCTGTAACACATCATGTGCTAAGAAGCCCTTTTGTAAAGTTTTGAGGATATCCTCTCAAGATGCTAAATATGTCTCTACAGTCATATCACAGCTAACCAGATTCATTTCAAATTGAAGTATTAACAAATATAACAAATAGGAGTGAGAAATGTAGTGGTATACTAAACCAGTTATGCTAAGGAAAAAGTTAAATCTACAAGTGTAGAGTCCTCAAGCAAGCCAAAGCATGTACTTTATGTAATGGCCAAGCCAGTGTGACTTGAAAGTACTATTTCTTTTCACTTTTAGACATGATAACAATTTAAAACTCTTATGCAAGCAAACACAACCTGTCCGTCAGACCACCAGTGAGTGGTTGGTGGGCATGACTTTGTTGTGACAATGGACAAAATTGTTAAAGGAAAATAGAGTCCCAAGAATCATTTATTAGTGAGTCCTTAGGCTGCCACTATAGTCTGTATGCAAAATCTTCTATAATGAAATGTTAAACCCAATAGTAGCATGCCATGGCTGATTAAGCTCTCCAGTAAAGGTGCATTTATTGAGGGATATTTATTTCCTTTAGGTAAGGAAATTATTGAAGAAGCAGATAGTGAAGATCATGTCCTGTTCCCCGGATTCTCAGAGTACCCCTGACCACCCCGAAGGAGATTCTGCTGCAGCGGGTGACCAACAAGCAGAAGACCTTAAAGCTATCTCAAAAAGTGAACTTCACAATGATGCTTCAAGTTTACAGGAGGGAAAGGAAGATCACCTTGATGAAATGAGAAAAGGGGTGCCTTGCGAAGCAGCTGGGCTGCCGTTGCAACCACCCTTTATTCTGAAAAAGGATGATGGTGCCTCAGACTACAAGCTGCAGTCATCAGAACAAGATGCAGATGACGAAGCAGCGGACGACACTGATGACACCAGCTCAGTCACCTCCTCTGCCAGCTCCACAGCTTCCTCTCAAAGTGGCAGTGGCACAGGGCGCAAGAAGAGCATCCCTCTCTCAATCAAAAACCTTAAGAGAAAACATAAGAAAAAGAAAACCAAGGTTAGCCGGGAGTTTAAACCAGGTGACAGGTAAGGTTAGAGCTCATATTCTACCAACACAGGCCCTTGAAATCTTGTCTATTCTGATTTTTTTTGTGTTCAGATGTGAGATTCCTATATTTAAAAAATGCATGTAACTTCAGTTGTGTAGTTTTTAACTAGGTGGCATATGTTACATGTTCATCTTCATTACTCTTGAACAGAAATGTATCCTCCATTGAACCATTGTGGAGATTAAGATTGTCCTGCTCTTTGATCCCGCCTTCATTGCAGGCGGTCTGGTGGGAACAAGGGACAGGGCCTTTTCAGTGGCCCCTTGGTTGTTGAATTCCCTCCCCAGTGATATTAGAGCAGCTCCCTTCCTTCAAAAGGAAAGTGAAAACCTGGCTCTGGGGTCAAGCCTTTGGAGATTAATCTATAGTGCAATAATACCCTTGGAATATGTGCAGTTGATCTTTGGAATGGCTCCAGATTATGATTGAGGATGGTTTGATTTTAATAGTGAATGCAATATTTTATATGTTTTAATGTGCATTTAATTTTAATTTCAATTTTAACTTAAGTGTATTCTAATTGTTTGTTGTCCAAAGACATTGAATAGTTGCCATAAGTAAAGCCACCTTGAGTCCCCTTCAGGGTAGAGAAAGGCAGGATAAATAAATAAACAAACACTAAATAGCAGTAAAATGCAAATTTAAAAGCCTGTTTTTTAAACTAAATTCGGGCACAGTGGATATCAAACTATGTAGCAAGATGTTTCAAAGGAATGTGATAGGAGATGTTGAAAAAGATTCATAGGAGTTTTTTATTGCTGATTCCTAGCACCCACTGATTCTATCGCTGCTTTAGACAAAACATTTTTTCGCCAAATTGTACTTTATGAGATGAAGAAGTTTAAGAATCTGTGGTTAAACTTCTATATCTTCTTCCCTCCTCTCTCCTCATCTTAATTTAGAGCCACACTTTGCTGTAACTTCAGACAAGCTTTTTTTTAATGCCAGGGGTCCAAGGTAATACCATGTGAAATGATGGTGCTTTTTCCCAGGTGGCTATAAGTAGCTTTACATAGTCTTCAGATTCCATGCAAAGGTATTTTCCAGGCTGTTACTTTTTATAGCAGCTGCACTTTCTTCAGCAAATTCAAAAAGTTAGTGTTCACTTTACAACTTCCTTTGCACTCAGGAGCACAAATAAAACAAGCAGGGGGAAAGAGCTCCTTTCAAAGATAGTCTCTTGGCTATGAGTCCTTTTTGCACTATTAAAAACTAAATACACTAATGTAGGTAGTGCTACTCAAATAATAAACTTTGGAAATCCAAGCTGGCTTCTTTTGTGACAGTTCTGGTATAATGGTGAAATTTCACTGGCACCGAATAGCCCCTAGTTAATTTTTGTTAAGTGTTGGATTCATGCCAAGCAAGGGTACAAGGACCAGGGTCTTGAGGTTTGCTAGTACTTTCCAATTTACTGGTTTGGAAATTCCCCACCAAGTGTACAAAGCACAGCTCAATGCTACGCATAACTATTCAGCTCCAGGTCAACAGGATATAGGCACATAATACATAGATCAGTCTGTTTAATGAGTAAAGTATTTAACATTTAAATACACTATGACCTGCAAGAAATGTAATGTGGAAATGTCTTTAAATAGCCCTTACCTCTGATCCCAGACTTGGTATAGTAATGAGTTTCTCTACTTAAAAGTTGAAGAGCCTTTTCCCTAGCTCCAGTTTGAATCCTGGCACTGCTAATAACAGTGGTTTTTTCCACCTGCAGGCCAGATGATAAGCCAAACTCCAAGGAGAAAGTCAAGGATGTCATGCACTTAACAGCTTTTGTACTCCTCTGCAAATGGAATGTGCTACATTTTGGGGACTATGCTACCTGGGTCAATTGCTGGTTGCCTGTGATCATCCAGCAATATGTGAACAACAAGCGCATTCTAAAATGAAGGATGCCATCATATAACACATTGAGAACAACATTTGCTGCAACACATATTGTCCTGAATTGGCATCCTCTAGGAGCTACTTTCATGCAGGCTGCCCTTTAGTATATTTGTCCTATAGCTGCCTTAGCTTAAGTAGTTCTAGAGAGTTCTATTCAGCTTCCTTAATAATAAAGGAAATACGTATGCTTCAGTGTTTAAGTCTACAAATCCATCTAACAGTGAGTCAGAAATAGGTAAATAAAAAGCTAAACAGACAATAGGGAAAGTATTGACAACAAGTATCTATTAGTCACTTCCAGTTTTTCATTTCCATGTATTTGGGCCAGTTGCAAGTAAATGTTCTTGTTTTTCAAAGGTACAAAATTTTTGATATGGTTCGGGGAGGGATGCATTATTTGATGCATACTTATTCCCTTTATTATTAAGGAAGCTGAATAGATTGAGCCAAATCACAATCTGAAATGATTGGGAACTCTTGTTCTGCTTTGGGTACAGGATTTCCTGGGTAACAGCATTTTTAATTTTTGTATTTCCAGTCACTGTGCACATGTGTTGTGGCATATATTTATAAGCCTGTACCATAAACCAACTCTGTTTCCAGCATTAGATTTCTGGCTGTAAAATCCTATTGAACTTCATTTAACTGATTTGATAGACAGTATTGTCACTGAGCAGAAGGACTTAAATCTCTACCTATCCAAGGGCCATTATTTGGTCTCAAGTATTAGATTCTATCTATCTGCTCTTTCAGCAGAGAGATGTTTCTTTCAGATGCTCTGTTTTACTTTAGGCCCTGGTATTAAGGGCACATGTCTTAATGCTATACGCAAATGACCAAGGAGACCTCATTTTGGCCTGCTTTGTTTCCTTTGGTAGCCCTCTACAGTGATACGTTTCGCCTTTCTTTCCTTCTTTCCTTCCTTCCTTCTTTCTCGGTCTCAGGGTTGCTGTAGAAGTGGTCACCACAATGACGTCAGCTGATGTAATGTGGCAGGATGGCACCGTGGAGAAAAACATTCGTTCCAATGAACTGTTTCCTGTCCATCACTTGGACAACAATGAATTTTGTCCTGGTGATTTTGTGGTAGATAAAAGAGGTAGGTAAAACTTTCTCTCTCTGGAGTCCTGTGCTTTATTTGCCTATGTGTTTGGATCTTCGGACTGTCAGGAACTTCTAGCATAAAAGCAGAAAACTAGTAATTTCCATTGGTAGATTAAATCAGCCTTGATTTTTCCTAAGAATGCTAAGGCGCATATCTTCTGTGTTACATTGGCCATTCATACAATTGTGCTTGAATAGGAGGTGAAAGAGGCTTGGCTAATCCTTAAGTTGGGTAATTTTTTTCTGGTATTTGAAAATGTCTAAAAAATGTTCCTTTGCTTCATTATTGCCATGTTATTTTTGCCGAGATGACATTTTTCTCTGTATAGCGCATTGCTTTTCAGTGATCTCTAAAGTTCTGTCCCAGATGTTTGGTTTTATTTTTAAGGAGATGGGTGAAAATTTGACAATACTGTTCGTTTTTACCAAAAGGTTTATTTCCATCTAAGCTCTGCTAGAGTAATGTTGCTTGCTTAATCTTCTTGCAAAAGAGCTTAGATAGCTGTTTCCATTTCTTATCACTTCCAATATCAATTGGCCAAAAGATTGCTGTGGCTCAAAACTTGATATTATTGTAGTTTTGTTAAATGGCCAAAGTGTTCCCCACATGCAAGAGCAGGGAATTGAGGAGAGCCCCCACACATCTTCCAAGCCCCAAAAACTGAGTGGGCTCTCCGTGATCTTGCTTTGACTTCAGAAGCAGTGAAAACCGAAGCATTTTCTGAATGCTGCCCAAAACTTTTAGAGACACTTAGAACGCCGTGGAGCTCTTTTCTGCTTTCTTAGACTCCTTCCACACTGCTCCAATATCCCAGGAGTTGATCCCAGATTATCTTCTTATCCCACAATATCTGGCAGTGGGGACTTATATAATCCTGCTTAAATCAAATAATCTGGGATCAGATCCTGGGATAAAGAGCAGTGTGGAAGGGGCCTTACTCTCTGAGGCTTAGCACACAGTGAAACAACTTCCAGTCCTTCCTACAGTTCTACTTGAATGCAGGAGTCCCCTTCCCCCACAGTTTTGCTTGGTCTTAAACTTAATTTTCTGTCAAACACCTCCACACACTCATTAATGTACACAGATATTCTGAGAACACATTTTGACTGGCTGGTAAGGCCATAAGATACATGGAGACTTTTTTGTATCAATAAAGAATGAACTTTGTACCACTGAAGGGCAGATTCAGTTCCAAGCACAAGCAGACAGATTAGCAAACGCTTTGTATATTTTAAGGTGCTAACTCAGTCTTGCAGCTAGCCAGTTGACCTCAGTGAGTAGATTAGATGACAACAAATTTCATTAGCAGTCTTTTAAAAATATTTGAATGTTGGGTATGGGTATGACGTTTGATACCTCTTTGCAGGACAGTATAATTGCCTCACTCTGGTCTCTCTTGGGTAGAACATAGAAAACTCAAAGAAGATCTAAGTTAAGTCTCAGTGGGAATGTCAGGGCAAGCCATGTGTTAGTAGATGAAATTATGCAGAGTAGATGCTGCTGCTTTCTTCTGCTTACTGGTGTAAATTTCTTTGTTCACTCCTAAATAGCCCAGAGTTCTCAGGATCCTGGGATGTATGGCGTCGTACAATCAGGTGACCACATTGGCCGCACATGTGTGGTAAAATGGTTTAAGTTGAAACCCACTGGAGATGATGTTGAGGTAAGAAGCAAACTCCCAGTCATCTTGTTTTTCTCTTCTCTGGAGTGCCTCTAAGACAGCTGCAGGGTCTTGATTCTGTAGGTTGTTTCCTGACAGGTTAATCAGACTATGAACTGACTTGAATGCATGCTGCTGCCTTCGGCTTTTGCATACTGCTGAAGGTGCTCTTAATGTGCTTTACATTGCTGTTTAATCCATATTGAAGTTAGAAAAATGCATGTGCAGAAAATATTGTACTGGCCATTTTTTATTTTCAGTCCCTTTCCTAATAATTTGTTTTTGAATTTTTCACCACCTTATCAAGATAGTGTATCTGTAAAAACCAAAGAACTTTCCATCCTATTTTCAAGGCATTGTGTGTGTTGTTTCTTTTACTTTTTGATTCTCTTGACTTTGTCTTACTATCTTTTTGTTTTATTTTAGACATTAGATTAAAGGTTTTAGGACGGTGGTTCTCAACCTGTGGGTCCCCAGGTGTTTTGGCCTACAACTCCCAGAAATCCCAGCCAGTTTACCAGTTGTTAGGATTTCTGGGAGTTGAAGGCCAAAACATTTGGGGACCCACAGATTGAGAACCACTGTTTTAGGGAATGGATTTCTGCTTGTGCTTTAACCTTCATTTTTGTTACAGTGCTATTTTAGATGCACTCTTGTAATTGTGAACTGATATGGGGGTTGTCAAACTTCATATTCAAATAATTCCCAACTCATGTAATTGGGTTGGGAGTGAATGAAAATCTGAATGCAAGCATTATAAAAGCTTGGAGCTGATACAAATGTAAAAATCCAGTCACCTCACAGAACGCTATCCCTTTGGCATGCACACAAATGTTACTCAAGTTGAATATTTGCTTCATTTGGGAAAGTAGCATGTTGATTATAAGGGTGGGCCCATACATTGTTCCTCTTGTCTCTGTTTCTTTGTTAAGCCCTTTAGGCTAGAGTGAACATTCAGTATAGATTTTTAAAATATACCACCACTGTTTGCAGTACCATGGAGGGGGGGGGGGAGCTTGGTAATTTGAAAGCACTCCTGCATCATCTGAGAGTGCCTTCCTGCTTTTCAAATCATTTCTCTAAAGAATCTTTGAAACAGCACATACATGTGTGACTGTGCACCAAGTTCACCCCAGTACCAGACCAAACAGGAGAAACCATGAAATCTCTTTTAAAGAGGAGTCTCTTGAGTCACAGGATACTGGACTCACTATGAGTTAGAAGTATTTGTGGAAAGTGATGTGGGCTCATTTTAATATCTGTGTGTTCTTCGCCAGCTGGTTGGTGAAGAGGAGGATGTGAGTGTATACGATATTGCTGACCACCCTGATTTCCGCTTCCGCACTACCGACTTTGTGATCCGTATTGGCAATGCTGAGGAGGGTGCTTCAATTGGTGAGAATGAGGTGAGTTGTGGGTGGGATCTGCTGGTGTAGAAACCATGACAAGGAAATGGTGCCAGGTACAATTGCAGTTCCTGACTTTGTCTTTGGTCTGAGAGGTATAAGGCTTGCTTTTAGTAGTTCTCTTAATGAAGTGTGTATTTTATTTAAGGGGCTCTTTCTCTTTACACTCACTCAGATTTCTATCCTTGCAGCAGGACAAGTCACGAATCAGAATATAATCCTCAGAGTACTGGAGTCCATTAAAGAGCTGTAGAATCTTCCATATATATGAATGAACTAAAGGTCTTAAAGACCTTCATACTTCTGTAATTATTTTGAAAACTTCTGGCTCTGGTAGAGTTTTGAGCTTACCAAGGATGGTCATAAGGCATTCAAACTAGCTTCTTCCTGAAGGCACCACTAGATGGCAATATACTTCCAACATTTTTTCTCACAGTGGTGACATTAGAGTGCTAAGGTATATAGTTCACTAACTTTGCAGTAACTTGCTCACAAAAATTCTGGCCCAGATAGAATTCTATATAGAATTTCAACAGCAGCAGGAAATGTTACTATACTCTTGGCTCTATGTCTTTTATTGCCTTCTTAATGAGCTTTGCTTGACAGAACAGTGCAAGTGACAGCTGGCAATCTAGAGTTTAGGATTGTGATGGGCCTTAATGCTTGTTGTTTTTCACTCCACAGCCCTCTGTGGGACAGGTGGCTCGGGTGGATTTCAGCAGCAAAGTGGAGGTGGTCTGGGCTGATAACTCTAGGACAATTGTTTTGCCACAGGTGAGTTCCCTCATTTGGTATGTTTGTACATGTTTTACTAGCTACTGGAGGAAGAGTAGGCATGAAGTTAGCCATACAAGGGTGGGCCACTTTGTCCTTCAAAAGTTGTTGGACTGCAGCTCACATAATCCTTCACTATTTGCTATGCTGGCAGGGGCTGCAAGGAATTGCACGTCAACAATATCTGGAAGGCAGCTATTTGTTTTATAGCAAATAGATTTGTTCGCCTTAAGCTGGAAGAGCATAAGTGGGGGTTTTTTGTTACTTTTTCACCATAGATGCAATAGTACTGGTCTTCCTGGCTTAAATTTGTCAGACCACTGATTTTAAGGGGTGGGGGATGTTGCTGTAGATGTGGACAGCTTCTGAGATACATGTGGGAGCTCTGCTGAGTAGTCTGCAATCTAATTTGCAGTTTATTTGATGTTTTACTGATGACAGGCTTCTTTTGAATGCACCTGCAGAAATGCTCAGGGCCAGTTACATTCTTAGGGAAATGAATCATTTTATGATAGATAAAATTAAATATCAATAAGTTTTTATCTCAGCCCTGCCTCTTCATTTCCAACTGGCTGTAGTTCCTTTGCCATAGCCAGAACTTACAGAAGCTTGCTGTTCCTTCAAAAGTCTGCTCATGTGCATGAAATGTTTGGCATTCAGAGCTTTCATTTACTAAACAGGGCAGTTCTCCTTTAATTGCAATAGAATGGTACAGTGCCTGAACTATAACAGTGGGATACAAAGCACTCTGCTGTCTTCCTTCCCACTCCTGTCACATGTGATCACATCACAGGAAGAATCCTTCCACAAAGAAAAGTAGTCTAGATACAGCAGTGCACCAATCTCTAATTACATGTGTTGTATATGCAGGAAATAAATTGTGACTGGTATGGCTCTGAAAATGACAAGAGGGAAATGTGAGAAATACAACTTGAACTAAATAAGATGACTAGTTAGAGGAGTGCAGCATCCTGAGGTCTTCAGTCTGGCAGAGTTAATGCATGTTGCTCCATAGACCATTGCAGAGTCCCCAGCACTGCCATAGCCTTTTCATAAACTGTTCTAGTTAACCTAGGATGCTCTAGTTTCGAAGGTAAAGTGCTGATTCCAGATCTCACGCACAGGCATTGCATAAGATCAGCAGTCAGGAAGCAGGACCCATTTGAATGTCATCTTTTCATTAGCTCTTCCTCTCGGATATCATCTGAATGAAGGTAGCTGTGATCCTCTTATAAGTGGTTCTGAACCACCTTGTCTTGTTAAATAAAGGGAAAACATGTTATCAGACCTGCTCCTAATTTCAGCACTTTTGTACCCACCCTGACCCTGGTTCTTTTGTTTTCAGCATTTGTACAACATAGAATCTGAGATAGATGATGAGACAGACCTGGATTCCATTGATGGCAGCACTAGTGGTGCCTCCTCAGATGAATGGGAGGATGAGAGCGATAGCTGGGAGACCGACAACGGCCTCATGGAAGATGATCATGCAAAAATCGAGGAAGTTGAGCCTGAGGAACCCCCTGCAGAAGAGGTGAAAAAAGTGGAAGAGCAAGTACAAGGGGCTGTTGCTATGGCAGTGGCTGACCTAACAACAGATAAGGCCAGCAAGGAAGGTACCCCAAAGAGCTTCCGAGAGTTGAAGGAGGCTATCAAGATCTTGGAGAGCCTGAAGAATATGACAGTGGAACAGCTTCTGACAGGATACCCCACTTCACCAACCGTAGAGCCAGAAAAGCCAACCCGGGAGAAGAAGTTCCTGGACGATATTAAAAAGCTGCAGGAAAATCTAAAGAAGACTCTGGACAATGTAGCTATTGCAGAAGAAGAAAAAATGGAGCCCATGGCAGAGGCAGAGAAGAAGGAGGAAAGGGAGACACAAACACAGACCGCAGGGCCTTCAGAATGGCCTAGTGAGACACCAGTGCTTTGCCAGCAGAGTGGAGGCAAGCCTGGAGTGACCTTCACCAGTGCCAAGGGGGAAGTTTTCTCTGTGCTGGAGTGTGCCCCAGGTGAGCGCAAGAGTAACAGACAGCCTTGCTTGTTTATGTTTGAAGCAGGAGTGAGGAACCTATAGCCCTTAGGAGTGGCTACACTTAAGTTTCCATCAGTCCCACACCAGCTTGTTGAGGAAGGGTGAAATTGTAGTAAAAAAAATCTTAAGGGGCCACAAGGTCCTCCTCATACTTTTTTTTAAAGGAAGCAGTGCTTGTCAATGAGTCCTTTGTCTTGGATGTATAAGCCTGCATATAAGGTGGGAGAAAACTTTGTGACTATATTCTTACTCTTTCAGCTCCTGAACCTAAACTACAAAACCAGAGCTCATAAAATCCATTTTTTCCTCAAAGTTTGCAAAATAAAAGCACCCACTTTAAAAAGTATACTTTCAAATAGTTCATGAAAAGAAAAAATGGAAAAGACACACAAACATTTTTATTTAATTGGAAAATAGCTTGAATGCCCATTTCATCTGAAATATCAAAGCAGTATAGATTTTAAATGTGCATAAATATATAATTTTCCAGCAAATTGGAAACAACTAATTTAACTATGCACTCTGGACACAGAACAGAATAAACCTAATATTGGAAAAATTAGAACCTAAGTTAACCTTGATGTTGAGTGACTTTTACAGACTTGCCCAACACTTAGCCAGCATTTAACCTGTTGAACACACACATATAATAATTGTGAAAATATGTCCATATTTGTGAGGGAAACAGCAGCTGCCATTGTTGAGCATTTGTTTCCGTCATGGATCTTAAACATTCACATTCATGTTAATGCAGTAACTGGTGCTTTTCAAAGTAATAGTCCCTGGACAAGTGCTGGTCTCTGAGAAGTTTCTATGGAGAAAAAGACAATTGTAACCATTGGGCACAGATTTGGTACCAGTCCCCGGCATATTGGAAAAGAATAACTGCTGGTCCACTACATCAGACAGCATGAGAGAAAAGCTGTGCTGCACACTAGGCTATCATAAAGTCAGGTGTCTGGTGAACTGTACAGGCAGTCCCCGAGTTACAAACATCTGATTTACAAACAACTCATAGTTAAGAACAGGGGTGATGCAACAGGGAGTGAGCGAAATCTACCTGTTGGAAGGGAAATTCACTCCTGAAAGAGTTATCATGGGGGAAAGGTGTCTCCTCTAAAGCTTTATCAATAATTCTTGTTTTCACAACAAACCAAATTTTTCAAAATTCAATTATCACAGAGACAGAAAGTGAGTAAAATCTTCTGAATAGGGATACAGATAGCAAAACAAACACCGCAGGAGTGTTAACCCTTCCCTATGCTACCCAAAGCTAAAACAGATATTTTTGACTGGAGTTATATTTTAAAATGTACCTGTTCTGACTTACAAACAAATTCAACTTAAGAACAAACCCAATAAAAGAAGAATGCATATTAAAAATACTAGACACAATGAATATGGACAGGCTAGCATAACATTTGAAGTCACACCAAGGCAACAAGATTGCAACAAATTGGACTTTTTTGGCAAACTTTTTGAAAACAGAAAAATAAATATATAAAGACGGAGTTAACAAAAATAAATGTTATATAATAGATAATCAACCCAGATGGAAAAATTGGAAGTCAAAACAAAATTTTCCTCAAAATCTTTTTCCTCTCCCCCCACCCCCCTTTTTTCACTAAGGGGATTGTCTCTCTATTTTTAATGTAAAATATTTTTTCCTCACTTTCATCCCCACCCATATCCCTATCCCTTGATTTTCCTTAAATAAAAATGATATTTTAAAAAAGAACAAACCTACAGAATCAGTCTTGTTTGTAACTTGAGGACTGCCTGTACTCTGTTCAAAATACCAATGATGAAAAGATTCCTCAGTCTGCTCAGGCTACACATTGCATACTTTAATAAATGAAATTCAAAGACATGTAAGTTTTTACTAGTCTAAGGAAACCTTACCTGGAAATGGTTTCCAGCTTTGTGTTTAGCGTTTAGGGTTTTTGACCAAAGAAACGGCAACATTGCTTCTCTGTGATTCATGAATGTACTGTCTTTATGTTTTCTTGCCATATCAGATAGCCATGCTTTTAAGAAAATGGAATTCCAACCTCCTGAAGCCAAGAAATTTTTCAGCACAGTGAGGAAAGAAATGGCATTATTAGCAACCTCATTGCCAGATGGCATCATGGTTAAAACCTTTGAGGACAGAATGGTAAGTTCACAAAGGGTACATCCTTGCATGTGTTTTGCCATTTATTGAGATTGAGCATCCTTGTTAGAAGTTAACCTTGTGAGATTCTGTTCCACTAAGTTATTTTTTTAATGAAAGAGATCGCTTAATGTGTTTATTATTCTCATTTTTCTCATGACAGTGCAGGAGGTGGTCACTAGTTCTCTACTGCACCCTAACTGCTTTTGACTTTCATAGCTTGTGTAGCCAAAATGAATGCTGTGCCAATGCCTTCATCTGTCACATGAGAGCTGTGTCCACCCATCATAGGTTAATATAAAAACCATAGCTCTCTTTTTTTAAAAGAGAAACAATGCAGTTCTGTCTAGGAAGCATCTTTAAACACCCGCAGAGCTCATTAAAACAAACTTCCTCATTCCTTTATGGTAGTAATGCATTGCACAAGCAGAGGTTTTGACCTACCCTGGCTACAGCAACAGCAAATGTTTGCCATGTTGCCGTTTTATTCCATAAACTGATAAAAAGTAATACTTTACGGTACTTGCCAAGGGCTATCCCATGTACTTGAGCTCAGTGTTCCTGCTCTGTTATTTTTTTATAAATATGACAACTGCATAGTAATTGGATAAAGGTGAGACCCAGTGTAGTGCAGGGGTATGAATATTAGACTACGACTCTGGAAATCAGAGTTCAAATCCACACTTAGCCACAGAAATACATTGGGTGATCCTGAGCAATTGACACTCAAAGGAAGGCAGGCACCTCTGCACAAATATTGCCCAAAATCCCTCATGATAGATTTGCCTCATGGCCACCAGAAGTTGAAAGCAACTTGATGGCACAGTTTTTGTACATAGTGGTCAGTTGACTTCCAATAATAGGGATTATTTTTTTATATATAATTGGTCCACAGATGTTATTGAACAACATCTCTCATCACTTTTGATTATCCTTCATGTGTACTGGGGATGATAGAAATTGCAACCCAACAGCACTTTTGGCTCTGGGGTTGGAGAAAGGTTAAAGGACATTTTAAAGTCAGACATTATATTCACAAGCCTTGTGTCTAAATTCAAATTGCACTCCCCTGACTAAGCAGAACAAACTGCAGCCTTCCAATTCCCATCAGTTCTAGTCATAATGTGTAACTATGAAAAATACAGGATCAGGATTTGGACCATGGGCTGTAACCTCTTTCCACATGTGCTCTAACCTCTTTCCAGGACCTCTTTGCAGCACTTGTCAAAGGACCCACACGTACACCGTATGAAGATGGCCTCTTCTTATTTGACATCCAGCTCCCCAACATATACCCAGCTGTCCCCCCTCTCTTCCGTTACCTCTCCCAATGCAGTGGACGCCTGAACCCCAACTTATATGACAATGGAAAGGTCTGCGTTAGTCTTCTGGGGACATGGATAGGCAAGGTAATGTTGCTTTGGAATTTTCTGCCTATATTTTTATTGTCCTGACACATCTAAATACCACAGTATAATCTAAGACATTATTGCTTTGCATCCTTCTACTCACAAATAATCTTATGTACGCTACTCTGAACCATGTGTTGGTTGAAAAATGGGATAGTAAGTGAGTAAATAAATGCAACTTCGTTCAGAAATCATGTCTGATGTACTATGACTGTTATTGTTTTGGAAGTACTTCTTTGAATTGATGTACCTTATATACTCGAGTATAAGCAAACAGGTGACCATCCCTCATAAAAACACTGAAAAACACAGCAGAAGAGACTTAAAAAGCCAAAAAAACAAAAAATACATTACAACGCATGCGCAAAACCACACATATATATGCAAACACACATATATACACATATACACAAATACGAGGGGTATTTTTTAAGTAAGGTCCGTTGGAACATAAGTACACAACGAAAGTTTATTTCAAAAAAGTAAATTTATTTTCAGAAAGTACATACTTCACTCTATTTTTCGACATAGTTGCCAAGTTTGTTCAAACACTTATCCTACCTCTGAACCAATTTTAAAATACCCTCTTCATAAAAACTTGCCGCCTGCTCCGATAACCAAGAGTTCGTCTGTAATCAAAGAAGGGCGACCGGAGCGGTCCTCATCATGGACATTGTCACGGCCATCTTTGAATTGTCGTACCCACTTACGCACTTTGCTTTCACTCATAACAGTATCATCGTACACTTCACAAATCTGTCGATGAATTTCTGCAGCAGGCAGGTTCCTTGCTGACAAAAACCGTATCACTGAGCGAACCTCACATGCGGCGGGTGAGTTGATAGTCTTAAACATTTTTAAAGCACAGAACAGAACCATACAGGTTAGCTACAGAGCGGAAACTGAGCACAGTTGTTCCTGAGGCATGCGCTCGTTGCGGTATGCGTGCGAACTACTAGTGTCAAAACGGACCTTACTTAAAAAATACCCCTCGTATATACACACACAAAACACATATACACAGACTGGGCCACAGCAATGTGTGGCAGGTGACAGCTAGTTTCAAAATAAAAATAGATACCCATAAAATTACATTAATTGAGGTATACAGCTTCTCTTCTCTTCTTGGCACAGCAACCCAACTGCTGTGCTAAGAGGAGAGGCCATGTGTCTTCCTCTCCTCCTCTCTCAGCATAGAGATCCAGCTAGATTGCTGTGCCAAAAGGGGAGGAGGCACTCAGCTGTTAAAAGCCTACAAAGGGCTTCTTTCAACCCCACGCCTTCCCGCCAGGACCCTCACTCGAGTATAAGCCAAGGGAGGCTTTTTCAGCATGAAAAATGTGCTGAAAAGCTAGGCTTATACTCAAGTATATACAGTATTTCCACAGTCCAGGCAGAAATCTCAGAAGAAATACCTTTTTTGTAGTTAGATGGTGCTAACAATCATTTGTTGTTGGACATCACTTGTTATACTTCACAGGGAAGTGGCAAGTGAAGCAAATCAGAAATGTTTCATTTCTTTTATGCATTATTTCAGAGTTCTTTCTCAGTAGAACTTGACCAGTAATGGTACTGTGATATTTTTGCTTGAGTTAACCTTGACATCAGAAATCTGTTAACTAACCAGTCTGAGAGGGGCACTAATCCTAAAATGGTGGGACGAGAAGCCATCTTTCTCACACTACCAGCTGCTTGTGCTTTAAAGAGGTTGTTTTCTATGATAGCTATGGCTAGATCTAATTCTAAAGCAGGATTGGCCTTAATGTGTTTATCAGTAGGCAGTATACACTGAAACTTATATAACCATATCATTTAGTGCAAGAATCTTATGGCTAGCATTGTAATTTATTCCTTGCAACCCTCCCTCAATCATGCCATGAGCTTCACAGTCATAGACAGTTTTGCTACAGTGCTTGATATCCACATGCCTATCACACGGAGTCTTTAATATAATATGGGGGAAGCAGACCATTGTGGTGTAGTGGTATGAGTATTGGACTATGATCCTGGAGACAAGGGTTTAAATCCCCAATCAGCGATGGAAACCCACTAAGTGACCTTGGGCAAGCCACCTATTCTCAGCCTCAGAAGAAGGCCCCCTCTGACCAATTTTTGTCAAGATTTGCCTTGATAATTTCGCTTTAGGATAGCCACATGTTGGAAATGACTTGAAGGCACACAACAACAAACGTATACACATATTATGCTATGTCCCACAGGAGGAAAAGTACCACCTATAACATTGTCATGCTGCGTAACCAGCAGCTAATTTGACATGCTTTATTTCTAAACAGTACCTGGGATGGAACATGCATTGCCTTTAGGATTTTACTGTGCTTTCATTGCTAGAGGCAGTGCTACAGTGGACGCACATTTCTTGGAAGCTGATTTGGAAGGTGTTCTTGGGGGAGGAAGATAGTGAATGTTTGGCCAAGAGTTAAATCGCTGCACTGCTGTTGCCCAATGTCTTTGCAACCATTATTGATAGCTGTGAAGGGAATCAGTGGGGAAAGGATCTAGTGGGAGTCTCTTTCCCCCACAACCCAGATTTCCAACCTATGTCTGAATGGGTCTTGAATCAGAACCAAGGGCAGGCAAAACACTTTGCTTTGCAAAGAAATTTAAAAGACAACTAGTTAAAGAACTACTGTTAGTATTTTGTTCTATGCTAATAAATGACAAACAGAAAGGAACATCAAAGGCACAGAACACCCCCCCCCAAAGAAAGAAAGAAAGAAAGAAAGAAAGAAAGAAAGAAAGAAAGAAAGAAAGAAAGAAAGAAAGAAAGAGTTGTTCAGATGATTTGCATTCTAGTTCAAGCTGTGCTGACAGTGGCAAGTCGAAGATCTCACTGTAGGGATTTGGATTAGCTGTACTGTTACAGATAACTCCTTTTATCAGTCTACCCAGGCTATATCATGAACCAAGGAATCCAGTGTTTTAACACAGGAGTAGTTGAATTAGGGACACTGTTTTGCAGCAATACCTGAGGGACTTTGGTTTTTCTGGTGAGTAAACAATAGGCAGACTGTTTTCAACTCATTTACAGTACATATACATCAGATCTGACTGCCAGCATCATAATATCACCAGACATAGACTGCCTTAGTGCATGGTTAAGAACCACTGTCTTTATTATTCTCAACCTACGTCCCTTCCAGATGTGTTGATCTTTCACTCCCAAAATCCTTAGCCACTGGCCTTGTTGCCTGGGTTTCTTGGAATTAAAGGTCCACTGTCGAGAGGGCAAAGGTCAAGAGCCATTGCACAAAGCACACTTCAAATGGGAATATTGGTTGTTGACAAAACTGGGTGTTTCCCATTGGACTGCCCATCAAACATGCCAGACCAGTTGTCTACAGGATTCTTCTGCGTGGTACTGTGAAATCCACACCTGTGGTATTTCCCTGCGTCCACGCAGCTGACTCGGATCTTTCTTGAAAGCTTTTCCTAATTAGGGACTCCAGCCCCGCCCATCTACTCCTAATAAAGCCAGGCAGCGGGGCTTGGAGCCTTAATTCCTTTTGTCCGCGAAAGCAGCAACAACTCGGTGTTCTCTCCTAAAACAACTATTGGTTTGACTCAAGGACTCCAGTTTGACTACTCTAACAGACAGCAATTCCAACTTGTGTTCTGGGACCTTTGTTTATCCTATTCAGGCCAGCATGGCATTTTCTTTGAAATGTATGGCTTATGGGGGGAAGTTGCTCCAGAGTAACTCCCACCCCCTTTGTGTTTCTTGCTAGTGGGAGGACAAACCCACTCCCTCCCTTTAAAAAAAAAAGGAATAAAAAAAATGCCGTGTCCTCTGAGGCGCAGGCTTTTTTGCCTTTGGCAATGGGCAGTAACTTACCTTCTTTTTCTTCTGTTCCCCTCGCTCAGAAAGCAGGAGGGAAGAAGACTTTTACCAGCCTACCACCCCTTACAGACCCAGGAACTGGTAGAGCTTGTGGCAACAAACTGCCACTGTGGCTTTGTGCCAATAACTTTGTTTTGGGTTGCAGCCACGCCTCTCAGCTGTCTCTGTTTTTTAAGGACAGCTTGCTCTCACTGCCCGTGCTTTCCCTGCCCCATTTACCCCAGCAGGCAGTGGACGCTGCAACGATCCCTGCCATGCTTTTGCCCCCCTCAGGGGAGGGGAGGCTCAAGGCAGCCACGCCACCTGTGTGAGTGATGGCTAGCCAAGGCTTGCCTCCACGCCCATGGCATATAACGCCTTGGAGGGGCCTTCGGGTTGCAACAATTCCTGCCATGCTTTTGCCCCCCTCAGGGGAGGGGAGGCTCAAGGCAGCCACGCCACCTGTGTGAGTGATGGCTGCCAAGGCTTTGGGTCTAAGCCCATGGAATATAACTCCTTGGAGGGGCCTTCGGGCTACTATCCTCCCTCTGCATCATGCCGCCTGGGAGCTTCAGTGACGGCTCAGAATGTAAGTACTGTGTCTTTTGGGCCCCATCTCCACTTGGCCCATGCCTCAACAGGTAGGTTGCTACTATTTTGCATAGGCACAAACTGCACCCTCCTTTCCTTTTCAAGGATTTGGAGTCCCTTCTTTTGGTTTTCAGGAGTTTATTAAAACTTTTTCCTAAGCTCATTCTGGTGCTTCCTTCAGCTGCAACCAGTCAATGAGTCTGATGTAGATTCTGACTCCTATGAGTAGCAGATTTCTCCTACTCTTGAGGAGGACTTTTCCATCCCAGCTTCCTTAGGGGATGTGTTACCTAATTTTTCCTCCTTGATTGCTTAGAGGATCTGCTTTTCTCAGTTGAGCAACAGCAGAAACAAGCTCCAAGTACAGTTCTCCCAGTTCTCCCAGCACTTCCATACTTGCTTAAGCTTGGAGAAAAACAAAAGGCAACTCCTGTATCTGTGCTGGAATTTCTAAGTTTGTAAATGCACTTTACAGCATAGGCACCTCTTCAACAGAGTGGTTAGTTAAGCCTACTAAACTGAACTTTATTGTGGTCAAAGTTGTTTAATCCAAGAAAGCGAAGGCACCTCAAGTCAGTCCACTGTGATAAGAAGATCCACCCCACTGCTAGCCTACTCACTTGCATGATTCATTACCATGCTTGTATGGCAGCCTATCAGGTGCTCTTGTGGCATAGCTCAGCACTTTATTTGGATCTCCTTCCCCTACAACATCAACAGATCCTAAGGGCTTTCTGTCAGTAAGCTCTCACCTTAGCTTCTCATCAGAAAGCTATGGCTAAGCACAGCACCGATACAGTACTAAAGGTGTTTGCTGCTGTTGCAGCAGCCATCCACCAGCATGGTTGGCTGAGATCCTCTACCCTCTCCAAAGAAGGCAGAGCAATGGCAGAATAACTGCCCATGGCAGAACATAGTCTGTTTCATCCTGATACAGACCCTCATTTCAAAAGTACGCACAAGATTTGACAGGCTGCTTCTAAGTTTGGCTTTTTACCACAATCTAGCCTAGATTGTGGTGGCCAGCCCCTCAGCTTAATTATCATCAACCTTCATGACCTGCTTCCTTCAGTCCTCAGCAGGGCCAGAACTCTAGGGCCTCTGTAGCTGGGAGACTTAATTTTTCCACCAGGGGTGACAACAAACTAAAGGGAAAGAAGAAGATCAGGGCCAACAGTGTTTTTAGCATGCATTTTCTCTTCTTTAATAGCCTCCAACCCTTCAGCTCCAGTTTTTGGCGCTCCACCTCATCATTTTTAGATGCATGGCATTAGATCACTTCTCACTCATGGGTGTTGGTGATTACAGAGCATGTTTATGCAATTTAATTTCTCAAACTGTCCCCAGTAGGGACTCTACGGGCCACTCCTCCTCCTGTGTTATAGTAGGAGGTAATTACTTTGTTTCAAAAGGAGCAGTAGCTTCTTTACATCTTTCTATGTTTCCTTCTTTTCCCTTTTCCCCAAATACTTTTTGGTTTCCAAGAAAGGCAGTGGGCTTTGGCCAGTTTTGGACCTTAGAGGACTTTATGCATATATTGCATATTGCAAATTTCAGATGTTGTCATTACCAACCATCCTCCCTCTGTTATCCAGCAAGACATGGTTCAGTAGCATTGATTTGAAGGATGCCTATTTTCATGTGGTGATTAGACCACAAGACAGTAGATTTTTGTCACTTTTTACTAGCAGTCAGGCCTTTTCATTTCAAGTTCTTCATTATGGTATCTCCACAGCTCCACAGGTGTTACTAAGGAGATGGCTGTATGCCGGCTCATCCCTGGGTGCACGGGGTGGTAGTTTGCCCCTATATTGATGGCTGGTTGTTGGTGCACAGTTCTGTGAGTATCTACAGAGGAACATTCACTTTACTCTGTCTTTATAGCAGGAGCTTGGTCTTTTTATCAACAAGGTAAAATCTCTTCTTCAGCCTATCCAAACAACCAATTCATTGGGCCTGTATTGGACTCTTGGCATGCAAGGGCCTTCAGACAGGTTTCTGACTCTGCATTCATTAGCTCTTTGAGTCTGGAAGAAGCCATACATCCATGCCAGGGATGTCCAGTGCCTTTTGGGACACATGGCATTCACCACAGCTGCCACTCCTTTCTCCTGTTTGCACCTTCGGCCTCTCCAGAATTGGTTTCTTCGGGCACTTCATCCCATGCAGGATGAGCCCAATGAATGTCTCAATGTCCCTTTAGCCATCCACCGGTCTATCAACTAGTGGACTCATCGCTCCAATCTCTGTGTGGGCGATGTTAGCAACAGACACTTCCCTCTCAGAGTGGTGAGCTCGCCTCAAGGGTCACACCATCCATGGTCCTTGGGCGGCCCTAGAGGGCATAGAGCACATCAACTATTTGGAGTTACTTGCAGTAGAAATGGCACTGCACCTTATCTGTCATTTGCTCATGGACAGTATTGTCCAGCTTACCACCACCACCACAATTGTGATTTGCTTGCCCTCATCAGAATCTGGGACTGGTATACCATAACCATCAGTGCCATTCATCAAGAACTCTCTTGCTGGCTCCCTCAGTCAGACAGTTTATAATGACCACTAATGGTCCCTTCATCCTTCCCAGGGATGGGAACTCTTTGTCAGATGGCAAACTCCCCTTCTGGACTTGTTTGCCTCTCCCGCCAACATGAAGTGCCAGTTCTTTGGAGCACGTCTTACCTCCACCAGACAGGCTGTTGGGAGATGCCTTCCTCCTGGATTGGACATCCGCCCTCCTGTACATCTTTCCACTACTGCCACTGCTGTCCAGAGTGGTCTCTCGTCTTCAAGCAGAGCAGGTAGATTGCATTCTCATCACACCATGGTGGCCCCGCCAGCCATGGTTTGTCACTCTGCTCCAACTTGCAGGCAGCTGTTACATTCAGTTGCCACTCAGACCAGACTTGCTGACTATGGGCAACAGCCCAGTCCCGTACTCCCAGGTCACTCAGTTCCGGTTGACGGCGTGGCAGATCCAGCCTCAGCCCTCTCTCAACCAGTAAAGAGCAGTTTGGACCTTGCCCTGAGACCTGCCACTAAACATTCTTACATTTATAAGTGGTGTCATTTTTGCATTTTTTCACAAAAGCAAGGAGTTCAGCCTCTGTCTGCTTCCACTTCCCTCCTCCTGGATTTTTTGATTTTTCTGTCAGATTCAGGACTCTCATTAACATTCTTGAAGGTCAATCTGGCAAATATAGATTCGTTTAGAAGTGAGCATTCTCTTCCCTCTCCTTTATCCG